CTTATCGACATCAACACAGATAAAAAACAACGATAGATATAACATTAACAAAAAAAAAGCAGACAAGAAAAATATTTCAAAAATAAAAATTCTAGGATAAAAAAAGAAGGAAAAAATAGAGGAAATTTCGCAGCAGAGAGATATCACAGAACACACACGATCTAAATAACCGCAATAAGGAGTTAAAAGTGTAGCAAGCGAGTGAGGCAAGAGACCAAAAATCCTACACCCCTTCCTTCTAGGTATACTGGGCTGGGCCTATTCTCGGTGGTCTGGCAGCAGCTCTTATCTACTCCTACGTATTCCGAGCCCCAAAGGACCCCGCTGCTTATGACGTGGAGATGGACAACTATAACAAGAGAACCAACAATGCTTAAAGAGAAAAGGTACAGGCCTCAGGAGTCTGACGAAGTGGAAAAGGGGAGGGAGAGGTGTGGTGTTTGTGTGGGTTTGTTTGTGAGAGTGTGTGTTTTGTTTCCCCATTTCTTTTCGTCTTCCTCTTCCTTCTCATTCTTTTCCTACTTTAGTCTTTTTTCCGTCTTCCTCTCCCTTCTTCTTTTCCTACTTTAGTCTTTTTTCCGTCTTCCTCTTCCTTCTCCTTCTTTAGTCTTTTTATCCGTCTTCTTCTTCCTTCTTCTTTTCCTACTTTATTTATCCGTCTATTTGTCTTGTGTCGTGTGTGCGAGTGTGAGAGAGATTATATATATCTATGTGACTGCACACCTGGTTGTACGCTAGGGAATTCTTTATTTCCTTTGTGTAGTACTGCACACTTGGTTGTACGCTAGGGAATTCCTTATTTCCTTTGTGTAGTACCTTTTAACATCGAAGATCGAAGTTGATTTTTGAAAGTGCATGGTAGGAACAAAAGGTCTAGTGGTCTTAGTGCAACTACAACCAAAAAATAGTTGAGATTGCAACATTCTGGATATTGCCGTATTTTGTGAAGTAGGATCGGACAATTTTGCAGTTAGGATGGTATGACACTTTAATACACATCTGCATACACGCATTTATATATATATATATATATATATATATATATATATATATATATATATATATATATATATATAATATATAATATATATATATATATATGTATATATATATATATATATATATATATATATATATATATATATATATATATATTGTGTGTGTGTTGTGTGTGTGTGTGTGTGTGTGGGTGGTGTGTGTGTGTGTGGTGTGTGTGGTGTGTGTGTGTGGTGTGTGTGTGGTGTGTGTATGCATATACATACATAGATATATGTATATGTATTATAATATATATATATATATATATATATATAATATAATATATATATATATATATATATATATATATATATATATATAATATATACATATAATGTTCATATTTGTACATCTTTGGTAGCTTTTCCTTTTGATGTAGTGTTCATCCATTCCAAGAAGTTAGTGTTGTCATGAAATCATACATAGTTTATCGTGAATTGTGTGAGTGAATGATAATTTGACCACGCTCTGGACCTCTCTCATTTACGTCCCTGACAGATACAACAAAAATCTCCAACATGGTAACACAAAATATATAGCTATTTTAGCAGGACCACATAAGTATTCAGTCCGCAGTACACAGGTATCACTATATGTTGTTGTTGTAGGTACACCATTTTTTTCACAATAAGATTTTTATAGTGTTGCATGAGAGACTGCAAGCTTTGTACCAGGCTGATGGTGACGGGTATAGTTCATGGTGTCTGTAGTTTATAGTGATATGACGCTTGGGTGGATATGCAGTATGGTGGCAGAGGGTGATAATGGTGATAGAATAGTGAAGAAATGGTGAAAGTTAGCTCGCTAATGTCTCCTAACATAAGCAATGGTAGTGGACGTATATGTATGAATGTGTGTATTCATTTTTTTCCTAGTTTGGTTATTAATGTATATTTGTTTAAACTTAAGAATGAAATATTGTGTAAGGAATAAATTCGTAAGACTGTATTTATTTGTACATTTTAGGTTTTGCATATGAATCATACACAGTAAGTATTTAACAATGTCTAACATCATTTATTTCTAAATATCAACTCAGGGCATTACAATGAAGTATATATTTTGTGATTTAATTTCATTAGTATCGGGTATTTGGGATACAAACTGCATTTTTCTCTAAATATACCTAAACTTGTTCAGGTTATCCTCTTAGTTTAGAACACTACTTGGACATTATACACATATGCATGCACAGACATACACACAGTGTATACATTCATGTGTACACACACACATACGTACATATAGATAGACATAAAGATTAAAAAATATAGATGTAAGTACTTGTAATTGTGTAATGTTTATCACACGCACACACATATTTACTTCCCTCTACATCCCTCATGCCACTGCGCATGCCCCCCCCCCCCCTGGCACTGCCACTGACATCTAAGGGCGCCTCTCCATGACAGATCTACTGGCTTGGCCCGATCATGGGCGGTCTTCTCGCCGGCCGGGTTTATAATAAGGAGGAGACGAAGAAGACGACCAAGAAGAGAGCAACCACAAGAAGAACAAGAGAGAGAACGAGAAGAACATCGAGAAAGAGAAGAACAACGAGAAAGAGAAGAGCGAGTGTAAGTACGACCTGACCATCTCCATCGACGACCTCAACGGCCATTCGTACCATAAGGACCACCAAAACACAGGCCGTTTCGTGAGTGAGAAGGACGACCAACATCTCATGGAGGAGGACGAGGAGGAAGACATGAATGAAGAGGAGGAGGAGAAGAAGAAGCTGGTCGATGTGGAGAAGGTGGTTATTGTAAAATCTCAGAAAAAGAAAGAAGAAGAAGAGTTTCTGGAGAAAGAAAACGAGGGTGTGATGATGGAAAGGACAACTGTTATATAAAGTGGCATTTCGGTTCTGCGGATGAGGATTATTTTCTCATTTTTGTCTATTTATGTTGTCTTCACTATGATCATCATTAACTTTGATATTTGTCTTTTTATTTGAGTTCCCCACAGTCATCGTTTTCTTTCCCTTGCATCGCTGTGTAAAGTAAGGGAGACTAAAACAAAATAATGTTACTCATGATATTCTTCATTTCTGGTTATATTGTGCGCAATGCTTAAGAAAAACTTACCAAAAAATCTGCGAAGCAGAATAAACTTCTTTTTACTTAAATATCTAAGTAAGTAAGTAGTACCTGCAACAGAAGACGTTTCGCGTGGCATAATGTAAAGTAGTAAGGTTACATCATATTGATGATGATTATTTTCCTTGTCTCAAATCGTTTATCTTGTAATCTTTAACTCATGTAAAGTAAGGTATGACTTTCAAGCCTATTATCACCACAAAATTTCATACATTAATCATTTATATCACTTGTGTTCACGAGGATAGAAATTCTTTCATTTAACCTTAATTATTAGCTTTATTCATAGCATTAAAGTAAAATTGAATTAACACAAATTGATTATACGTTGACAATTCTGTGCATGAGTATTTTCTTTCAGATACTGATTTCACTGTACTTCTGTTCTAGATTAGTACCATTTTCCTCTTTCCATACGTCTTTGTCTATAAAATAAATTGTAGTACCATTTTCCTCTTTCCATAACTGTCTTGTCTATATAGAAAGAATATGTGTAAACATAAGACTGAATAACATCGCCGAAGTAATAGACAATAAACACCTTTACAACTGCCGTGGAAATGAAAGAATGTTTTATCGGAATTCCGTTGAAATGCTCTATTACATTTTTTTATGAACATTTAATTCAAACATTGTTATTGTCAACATGTTATTTATTCTTGTTTATACATTTGTCACACTGAAATCCATGCATTATTTCTCTTTAGCAATACAACGATAATCATGCATTTTAACTTTACCATCAATTATACATAACCTGCAGATTCAATACATAATCATAAAAGCAAAAATACAGTTGTTACGTATTGTAAGACTATCATAGATATAATTAGTATTTTTCTATAGACAATGAATTAATGCCTGTCAGAATAAAAACACTTATGATGGCAGGTGTAAACTATTCATTTCTAGTAGAAATCACACGTAGATAAATTCTATTGGAGTAGTGTTTAATTGTTATATTTTTTTGGAATAAACGTGTTTCTCGCAACTCAGATTTTGAGTTAGCAAGAGAAGCCTTCTAGTTTTAATGTGATTGAACAATAAAGTAAGATAAGCCCACTTGTTTCCTTTCATTAGTTGCCCTTCAAATTTTAGAAAGATGAAGAAAACGCAGATTTTTTTTAAGTTGAGCTGTATCATTCTACACACTGTACGAAGCTATCACATCATCCCTGTGCAATAAGTGTGCGTGATGAAAAGGAGTTTAAATTTCAACGTTCAGTGATTCGTTATAGTCTGAAAACATCTTGACTTTTTTTTTTTAATATATGATATATCAATTCATATCTTTTGAATAATGTGAATGATAAATTGTGTATGTCTGGCAGTATCAGCATTTTCATGATCTTATTTTAGGAAAAATTTAAGAAAGTTTTACTATTAATTATGCCATAACTTAACAATACACCATGAACTCATTTGTTGACCTTATTGGAGCTCGTATGACCTAAAGACATCAGTAGAATCATATAAGAAGTGAGACATGACGCAGTTAAGGACAAATACATTTCAATCAAAAACATCTTACTGCTTGTTTATTTGATATGTTTACAAGATATTTTAGAAAATTAATGTCATATTCACAAGCATAATAAGCGATTGGTCATTTGATTAGAGTTTGAAGAAAATGATAATGTAACAAAGTGATATGAATAACGATAACGATGATACACATAGATGATTTGAATTTATGTTAATTATATATAAATATTAATGACACTAATATAAACAATCCTCTTTTAACCCCCCCCCACAAAAAAAAATAATAATAATGATAATGATAATAATAAGTAATACTAATAATAATGAATAAACGAATAAATGTATCATAAACCGAGTTCCATAAACCATTAAAAAAAAAAAAAAAAGTATAACCTCGCGTGACCTCTTTAGCTCCACCCTCCCTCGCCTATTGCTCCGCCCCTTCTGAGAAATCAAAGCCGCCGATTGGATGCCACGCCCCCTTGGCTGTGTGACTCCTCCCATGAGCACACTTTCGACGACTTCACTTCCTGTGTGATAAAATAATAATGATGTTGATTACACGAATTATTTGTTTCCTCCGACGATCAGTTCTGTTATTGCTTGTTTATTGTAATTGTTTGTTACTATTATTTTCATAATGATTGTCATCATTATTATTATAATCACCATTATTATTATTTTCATCATTATCATTTTCATTATTATGCTATCATTAAAATTATAATTGTCATTGTAAATAATTGTTATCATAATTATTATAATTGTCATTATAATTCTTTTATTATCATTATGATGATTTCAATCATAATTATGATGATTTCAATCATAATTATGATGATTTCAATCATAATTATGATGATTTCAATCATAATTATGATGATTTCAATCAATTTCAATCACATGATTTCAATAATTATGATGATTTCAATCATAATTATGATGTCATAATTATGATGATTTCAATCATAATTATGATGATTTCAATCATAATTATGATGATTTCAATCATAATTATGATGATTTCAATCATAATTATGATGATTTTCAATTATAATTTATGATGATTTCAATTATCATTGTGATTATTTCAATTTTCAGTATGATTATTTTAATTATTAATTATTATAAACAGTATGATTATCAGTATAATCATGATCATAAACATTATTGTAATTATCATTATCAGTATGATTATCACTATCATTACAAGCATCATTAGGATTATAATCATAATCGTCATTATAATCATTATCATAATTACCATTATCATTATGATTTAAATTTTCATCATAATTTTCATTATAAAGTCATTTTAAATCTATAGTATAAATATCATTATACAATCATTATCATTATAATTATACAATCATTATCATTATCATTATACAATCATTATAATTATCAATATACAATCATTATGATTATCAATATACAATCAGTATAATTATCATTATACTATCATTATTCTTATTATTATTATCAATATTGTTAATCTCTATATTTTTAAATTATATCTATCTATTATTATTATTAAATTATCAATATTTTAAAATTATTATCATTATTTATAGATTATTATCAATATTTTTAAATTATTATCAATATTTTTTAATTATCATCAATATCTTCTGATTATTATCAATATCTTTTAATTACTATCATTTTTTAAAAATCATTATCAATCTTTTTAATTATTATCAATCTTTTAAATTATCATCAATCTTTTAAATTATTATCAATATTTTTAATTACCATTGATATTTTTAATTATTATTAATACTTTAAAATTGTTATCAATATTTTTTTTAAACATTATCAATATCATTTTAAAATATTATCAATGTTTATTATTTTTACCAATATCATTATTATTGTTATTATTATCATTTTATCATTATCATTATCATTATTATTGTTATTATTATCATTTTATCATTATTCATTTATCATTATCATTATCATTATCATTATCATTATCATTATCATTATCATTATCATTATCATTATCATTATCATTATCATTATCATCATCATCATCATCATCATCATCTTTACTATTTTGCTCATCATCATTATTATTGTGATCATCATTATTATCATTATTATTATCATCATAATGATAGTCATAATATTAATGATAACGATAATGATTTGGATAATACTAATAATGAGGAGGATGAAAATAATAAAATAATGATAGGAATGAAACTGATGATAAAAATAATGATAACAATAGTAGTAATAACAATGCTAATAATACCACTGGTAATGACAATGATAATAATGATAAATTCTGACATCAAGGAAGAAAAATTACACAAAAGAATGGAACATTTAGAATAAAAAAGAGCACATTCATTTCAGGTCAAGTGCGGTCAACTGAGCTGCCAAAATGAGCTTACGAGCAATTAATCATTACGCTAATTAAAGTGTGATAATTGTTGTTGTTCGTTTAGCGGCTTAACTTTGTTGTTTCAATATCTGTACACGATACACATTTGCAATAGTCAATGGCAGCAATTTGAATGGCAAGACGTAACTATCTTTCCAACACATTTGTTCCTGTATATTTTATAATCTGTTTATCTGTTTAACGGAAACTGGTGATTGTTATATATATATTATCATTATCATTGTAATCGTTATCATTAGTAGAGTCATTACCTTTATCACTGCAATTGTTATTGGCACTATCATTGATATTATCACATTATTATTAATAATATAATCATTGATGTGTTCATTATTATTAAGGTTTTCATTATTTTCTATATCATTATTATTTCCATTATTATCATTATCATTATCATTACTATCATTATATTTACTATTCTTATCATTATCATTTTTGTCATAATTATTATTATTATTATAA